TGTTAAAATGGGGTATAACAACAGAAATCACGCATGAGGCACTAGTGAAATTATTAGAAATACACAAAGGTAACTAGGTAGTGGGCTTCACCAAAGCAGTCCAAGCCTACAACCCTAAACATGCATAATTATTGGCACTCCAAGCAGGGTTACAACTCACACAAGATAAAGGATTAACTCCCCTAAAAAATAGAAACTGACTCTACAGAGATGTCACGATCCCAGTTTGCCCTCCGTGAACTATCGTGACGGCACCTAGTCTCTACGATTAGGTAAGCCTAACAAATTACGTAAAAAAGAAACAACAGAATAAAACAAATAAAAACTTTCGGAATAAACATAGTGAAGGTTTAAAGATGTCGCTCGGCATATACAATACAACTCTCAAACTGAAACTGCGTTTCCCAAAACACGGAATCTCATGAAATCACAAGCTGTGGAATAACTACAGTGTTCTAACTCCAGAGTGTCTAAACAAAAGTAAATACAGAAGGGCTAATACTATGAGAGAGAATGGAAAGGGACTCCTCGGTCTGCGGACGCGGCAGACATACCTCGAAGTCTCTGATGGATCACCCCGCCTCAAGAGTAGTAGGGCTGAGTGGAAGTACCTGGATCTGCACATGAAAAACATGCGTAGAAAGGGCATGAGTATACCATAGCGGTACTCAGTAAGTGCCAAGCCTAACCTCGGTCAAGTAGTGACGAGGAAGGTCAGGGCCCTACTGATTTTAGCTGAAAAATGAGATAAAATAGCATAGAATACGACAATATAATTAAATGCTAATAGGGTGAAATAACACGGGGCAATAAGAATAACAACAATTATTACAGAGACAGAAGTAATCACGGAAAGAATACAGCTCACATAGAGATAACAACCGGGGATCTCCCAGGATACCGTCCTGCAGTCCCAAATATCAATATCCAGTGGATCTCCTGGAATACCGTCCCGTATTCCAACTCATAGTGCGCGGGGATCTACCGGAATCCCGATCCGTACTCCCAGATGTAAATACCAGTACTGGGGGAATCTACCAGGTGCAGTCCCGTAGTTCTAATATAAAAGTGCAGGGGGGGCTCCCGGAATACCAATTCCTAGTCCCAAAGTAAATAGGCAGGGGGAGGATCTCCCGGGATACCGTCCCGTACTCCCAAAGTAAACACACAGCAGCAACATGAAGAATACTCAATTAAATTCCAATTTCATACCAAGGTAAAATAAGTATTTCCAACCTAGCATGCTGCACATAATCCAAATAAGGTAGATTGAGCAAGTAAAGCAATTAAGTCAATTAAACATGCTTCCTTAAGCTAACAGCAGGCTTAAATTACAGGCAGTATAAACAGGAAAAGGAATCACAATAATAGTTACTTAATGAAAACGGATTTTCAATAATTAGCACAAGTACGCACTCGTCACCTCATGTACGAGGCATTTCAAATATCAACAATACCAAATCCTAAGGGGAGTTCCCCCACACAAGGTTAGGCAAGCCACTTACCTCGAACCGGCTCAAAATCAATCCGAAACCACGCTCTTGCCACGAGTACTCGACTCCAAATGGCCCAAATCTATTCAAATCAATTACATAATGTAATAACACTTCAACTAACTAATTCAACTAATAAATTCTAAGCTAATACGCAAAATTAGGAAAAATGACCAAAACGCCCCTCGGGCCCACGTCTCAAAATCGGGTAAAACTTACAAATTCGGAATCCTCACACTCTCACAAGTTCAGTCATACCAAAAGTACCAAAATCGGATCCCAAATGGTCCCTCAAATCACCACTCAAAACTCTCCAATTAACCAAGCCCTAACCCCCAATTTACCACTGATTTTCCTTCAAATTTCATGCTTAAAATGATAAAAATCACCATAATAACGAGCTTAGGAACCAAGGACCATACCTCAATGAATCCCTCTGAAAATCTCCCTTGAAATTGCTCCCAAAAGATCCACCATGCATCTGCGGCTCGATCTCCGCTTCTATGTGTTCGCACCTGTGGTCCCCTAGCCGCAGGTGCGGTTATGACAGCAATAGAACAACTTCAACTGTCAAACCCAACTAAAAATCTTCCGTCAACCATCCGAAATTACCCCGAGGCCCCAGGGACCTCAATTAACAGCATGAAAAAGTCATATACCACTATCCAAACTTATACCAATCTTCAAAACACCTCAAACAACATCGAAACACCAAATCATCATCGAATTCAAGCCTAAGAATTCCAAAAACTTCCAAATTCCGCTTTCGATCAAAAAGTCTATCAAACCTCGTCCGAATGACCTGAAATTTTGCACACACATCACATATGACCCAACGAACCTACTGCAACTTCCGAAATTTCATTCCGACCCCTATATCAAAATCTCACCTATCAATCGGAAACTTCGAAAATTCGACTTTTCGGCATTTCAAGACTAATTAAGCTACAGACCTCCAAAACACAACCCGGACATGCCCCTAAGCCCGAAATAACCCAACGGAGCTAACGGAACCATCGAAATTCCATTCCGAGGCCATCTTCACACTGGTCCGACTACGGTCCAGATTCTAAAGCTTACTCTCTCCTTTAGGGAGTAAGTGACCCAAAACACTCCGAAACTCAAAACGAAACCTCCCGGCAACTCAGAATAGCAGAAATAAACACGGGGAAAATAGTTAATAGGGGATCGGGGCGTTAATTCTTAAAACGACCGGTCGGGTCGTTACATCCTCCCGCACTTAAACATTCGTTCCTCTTCGAACGGGCGTAGAGACATACCTGAAGTAGTGAAAAGATGAGGGTAACGGCTGCGCATATCCTACTCGGTCTCCCAAGTCGCCTGCTCGACCGGCTGACCCCGCCATTGAACCTTCACTGATGCAATGTTCTTTGACCTCCGCTTTCGAACCTGCCTGTCCAATATCGCCACTAGCTCCTCAACGTAAGATAGGTCCTTGTCACACTGGACTGAACTAAAATCCAACACGTGCGACGGATCACTGTGATACTTCCGGAGCATCGAAACATGAAATACCGGATTAACTCCTGCCAAGCTGGGAGGTAAGGCAAGCTCATAAGCAACCTCCCCAACACGCCCTAATATCTCAAAAGGGCCAGTAAACCTCGGACTCAACTTCCCTTTCTTCCCAAATCTCATAACGCCCTTCATAGGCGAGACCCGAAGTAGGACCTGCTCTCCAACCATGTAGGAAACATCACGAACCTTCCGGTCCGCGTAACTCTTCTGTATGGACTGGGCTGTGCGAAGTCTATCCTGAATTACCTTAACCTTCTCCAAAGCATCCTGAACCAAGTCTGTACCCAATAATCTAGCCTCATTCGGCTCGAACCAACCCACCGGAGATCTACACCGCCTACCATATAAGGCCTCATACGGCGCCATCTGAATGCTGGACTGATAACTGTTGTTGTATGCAAACTCCGCCATTGGCAACTGATCCCAAGACCCTCCAAACTCAATCACACACGCACGGAGCATATCCTCAAGAATCTGAATAGTGAGCTCGGACTATCCGTCCGTCTGAGGGTGAAATTTTATGCTCAACTCCACCCGAGTACCCAACTCATGTTGTACGGACCTCCAGAACCGTGATGTGAACTGAGTACCTCTATCCGAAATGATGGAAATCGGAATATCATGCAGACGGAAAATCTCCCAGATATAAATCTCCGCCAACCGCTCCGAAGAATAGGTAGTACTCACAGGAATGAAATGCGCGGATTTGGTCAATCGATCCACAATCACCCAAATGGCATCGAACTTCCTCAAAGTCCGTGGGAGCCCAACTATGAAGTCCATGGTGATCCGCTCCCACTTTCACTCCGGAATCTCTACTTGCTGAAGCAATCCACCCGGTCTCTGGTGTTATACTTTACCTGCTGACAATTGAGGCACCGAGCTACAAACCCAACTATATCTTTCTTCATCCGCCCCCACTAATAGTGCTGCCTCAAATCCTGGTACATCTTCGCGGCACCCGGATGAATGGAATACCGCGAACTATGGGCCTCCTCTAGAATCAACTCCCAAAGCCCATCAACATTGGGTACACAAACCCGACCCTGCATCCTCAATACCCCGTCATCACCAACAGTCATGCCTCTGGCATCGCGCAGAACTTGTCCTTGAGGACAAGCAAATGAGGCTCATCAAATTGACGCTCCCAAATACGAACAAATAGAGAAGACTAAGAAACCACACAAGCAAGGACCCGACTAGGTTCCGAAAGATCCAATCTCACGAACTGACTGGCTAAGGTCTGCACATCCATCGCCATGGGCCTCTCTGCTGCTGGTAAATAAGCCAAACTCCCCAAACTCTCCGCCAGGCGACTCAAAGCATCGGCCACCACGTTAGCCTTGCCCGGGTGATACAAAATAGTGATATCATAGTCCTTCAGCAGCTCTAACCACCTCCTCTGGCGCAAATTAAGATCCTTCTGCTTGAACAGATGCTGTAAACTCCGGTGATCAGTATAAATCTCACAAGGCACACCGTACAAATAATGACGCCAGATCTTCAAGGCGTGAACAATAGCAACTAACTCGAGATCATGGACAGGATAATTCTTCTCATGAACCTTCAACTGTCTGGACGCGTAGGCAATCACCCTACCGTCCTGCATTAATACCGCTCCAAGGCCAACCCTCGAGGCATCACAATAGACAGTATAAGACCCCGAACCTGTAGGCAATATCAAAACTAGGGGTGTAGTCAAAGCTGTCTTGAGATTCTGAAAGCTCTCCTCACACTCTTCCGTCCACTGGAACGAGCACCCTTCTGGGTCATCCTGGTCATAGGCGCTGCAATAGATGAAAATCCCTGAACAAATCGACGATAATAACCTGCCAAGCAAAGAAAACTACGGATCTCTGTAGTTGAGGATGGTCTGGGCCAACTCTACACTGCTTCCACTTTCTTCGGAACCACCTTTATTCCCTCACTAGATACCACGTGATCCAAGAATGCCACGGAATCCAACCAAAACTCACATTTCGAGAACTTAGCATATAATTTCTTCTCTTTCAAAGTCTGGAGCACTGTCCTCAGGTGCTGCTCATGATCTTCCCGACTTCGGGAATATACCAGAATGTCATCAATAAAGACAATGACGAACGAATCAAGATATGGTCGGAATGTACTGTACATCAAATGCATGAAGGCTGCTGGGGCATTGGTCAGCCCAAATGACATAACAAGGAACTCGTAATGACCATACCCAGTCCTGAAGGCAGTCTTCGGGATATCTGGCTCCCGAATATTCAACTGATGATAGCCTGAACGCAAGTCAATCTTAGAAAACACATAAGCACCCTGTAACCGATCAAACAGGTCATCAATACGAGGCAAAGAATAACGGTTCTTCATTGTGACCTTGTTCAATTGGCGATAATCAATACACATACGCATAGAACCATCATTTTTCTCCACAAACAAGACAGGAGCACCCCAAAGTGATACACTGGGCTGAATGAAACCCTTATCAAGCAATTTCTATAACTGCTCCTTCAACTCAGGAGGAGCCATACGGTACAGAGGAAAAGAAATGGGCTGAGTGCCCGGCAACAAATCAATGCCAAAATCAATATCTCTATCGGACGGCATGCTCAGAAGATCAGCTGGAAACACATAAGAGAAACCCCGTATTACTGGGACTGAATCAACCGTAGGGGTATCAATACTGACATCTCTCACATAAGCTAGATACGCGTCACACCCCCCTTCTCAACCATACGCTGAGCCTTAAGGAATGAAATAACTCTACTGAAAGTATGATCTAAGGTACCCCTCCACTCTACTCGTGGTACACCTGGCATAGCCAGCGTCACGGTTTTCGCGTGACAATCAAGAATAGCATTATGGGGCGACAACCAGTCCATGCCCATAATAACATCAAAGTCTACCATGCTGAGCAATAACAAATCGGCTCTGGTCTTAAAACCACTAAGAGCAATCAAACACGATCGATAAACGCGGTCCACAACAAGAGAATCTCCAACAGGAGTAGAAACATAAACATGAGAACTCAAAGAATCCCGAGATACGCCCAAATACGGGGAAAAATAAGAGGACACATAAGAATAAGTGGAGCCTGGATCGAATAGAACCGATGCATCTCTATGACAGACCAGGATAGTACCTGTGATGACAAAATCGGAGGCGACAGCCTCAGTACGAGCAAGAAGGCATAGTATCTGGCTTGGCCTCCCCCTCGAGGGCGACCTTTACCTCCCCGACCTACATTTCTAGCTGGCTGAGAAGGTGGGTAGCAACTGGTGCTGTGATCATAGCCTGAGAACTCTGCGGGGCACATTGTGGCTGAGAAGTCTGTGGAGGTGCACCCCTCCTAAGTCCAGGGCAAGCCCTCACCATATGGCGTCTGTCACCACACTCAAACAAGCTCTGGGAGGACGTGGTAGTTGTGACTGGCTCAGGCCAGGTCTGCTGGACTGACCACTGGAAGCACCCCGCACAGGAGGCGCACTAGATACTGGAGGTGCATAATAAGGCTCCTGAGGTCTAGGAGGAGCTGGAATACCACTGGCTACTAGAAGAGCTGAATGAACAGGGCGACTCATATAGCCCCTACCATGACGAGCTGAAGCTGGGGCACGGGCACCAGAATAATGGCCCGACTCTCGAGACCTCTTGGCCTCCCTCTCCTCTCTGTCCCGAGCATGCATACCCTCTAGTCTCCTAGCAATGCTCACCACCTGCTGATAAAAAATATCCATCTCCAACTCCCGAGACATACTAGACCTGATGTTGGGAATGAGCCCCTCAATAAACCGGCGAACCTTCTCACGAACAGTAGAAACCAAAGCTGGTGCATGTCTAGCCAAGTCGGTGAAACGGACAGCATACTCCGAGACAGTCATAGTACCCTAGCGCAAATACTCAAACTCTGCGCGCCAAGCGTCCCTGAGACTCTGGGGAACATACTCTCTCGTGAACATATCTGAAAACTGAGCCCAAGTCAGGGAAGCTGCCTCATCCGGACTGTCTAACTCATAAGCACGCCACCGCTAATAGGCGGCTCCTCGAAGCTGGAAGGTAGTGAAGGAAACCCCGCTCGATCCTGATATACCCATGGTATGGAGGATGTGGTAACACTCCTCTAGAAATCCAAGAGCATCATCTGAGGCTAGTCCACTGAATGTAGGAGGCTGATACTTCTTGAACCTCTCAAGCCTCTTCTGCTCCTCCTCTGAAGCTACTGCCCTCTCCTCGGGCTGAGCTGGGGCTACCGGCTGTACAGGAATAATCTCTATGACCTGATCAACATACACTCGCTGCTCAGGAGTGGGGGCGGCGGAGTCTGTGCTCCTCCCCCGGCCTGGGATGTAGCCGCAGCAAGGGAAGTAACCCTGCCTGAGCTAGAGTGGTGTACATAGTCATAAACTGCACCAGAGTCTACTGGAGTGCTGGAGTAGTAGTAGTTGTGGGCGTATCAGGCGCCTGGGCTCCAGCTGGAACTGCTGGTGGCTCCTCTGAAGCAGCTCGCGCGGGTGCTCTGGCTGCACCGCGTGCGCGCCCTCCGCCTCTACCCCCGGCCCCGACCTCTGACGGCTCCAGTAGGGGGCGCGGGTGCCTGATCATCTTGGGTAGCACGAAACCTCCCGGCAACTCAGAATAGCAGAAATAAACATGGGGAAAATAGTTAATAGGGGATCGGGGCGTTAATTCTTAAAACGATCGATCGGGTCGTTACATCCTCCCATACTTAAACATTCGTTCGTCCTCAAACGAGCATAGAGACATACCTGAAGTAGTGAAAAGATGAGGGTAACGGCTACGCATATCCTGCTTGGTCTCCCAAGTCGCCTCCTCGACCGGCTGACCCCGCCACCGAACCTTCACTGATGCAATGTTCTTTGACCTCAGCTTTCGAACCTGCCTGTCCAATATCGCCACTAGCTCCTCAACGTATGATAGGTCCTTGTCCAGCTAGACTGAACTGAAATCCAACACGTGCGATGGATCACCGTGATACCTCCGGAGCATCGAAACATGAAATACCGGATGAACTCCTGCCAAGATGGGAGGTAAGGCAAGCTCATAAGCAACCTCCCCAACACGCCTCAATATCTCATAAGGGCTAATAAACCTCGGACTCAACTTCCCTTTCTTCCCAAATCTCATAACGCCCTTCATAGGTGAGACCCGAAGTAGGACCCGCTCTGATACCAACTTGTCACGACCCCAGTTCGCCCTCCGTAAACTATCGTGACGGCACCTAGTCTCTACGACTAGGTAAGCCTAACAAATTGCGGAAAAAAGAAACAACAGAATATAACAAACAAAAACTTTCGGAATAAACATAGTGAAGGTTTAAAGTTGCCGCTCGGCATATACAATACAACTCTCAAACTGAAACTACATTTCCCAAAACCTGGAATCTCATGAAATCACAAGCTGTGGAATAACTACAGTGTTCTAACTCCACGGTGTCTAAACAAAAGTAAATACAGAAGGGCTAATACTATGAGAGAGAACGGAAAGGGACTCCTCGGTCTGCGGACGCGGCAGACATACCTCGAAGTCTCTGATGGATCACCCTGCCTCAAGAGTAGTAGGGCTGAGTCGAAGTGCCTGGATCTGCACATGAAAAACATGCGCAGAAAGGGCATGAGTACACCACAACGGTACTTAGTAAGTGCCAAGCCTAACCTCGATTGAGTAGTGACGAGGAAGGTCAAGGCCCTACTGATTTTAGCTGAAAAATGAGATAAAATAGCATAGAATACGACAATATAATTAAATGCTAATAGGGTGAAATAATACAGGGCAATAAGAATAACAACAACTATTACAGAGACAAAAGTAATCACGGAAAGAATACAACTCACATAGAGATAACAACCGGGGGATCTCATAAGATACCGTCCTGTAGTCCCAAATATCAATATCCAATGGATCTCCCAGAATACCGTTCCTTAGTCCAACTCATAGTGCGCGGGGATCTACCGGAATTCTGATCCATAGTCCCAAATGAAAATACCCAGTACTGGGGGAATCTACCGGGTGCAGCCCCGTAGTTCCAATATAAAAGTATAGGGGGAGCTCCCGGAATACCAATCTGTAATCCCAAAGTAAATAGGCAGGGGGGATCTCCCGGGATACCGTCCCGTAGTCCCAAAGTAAACGCACAGCAGCAACACGAAGAATACTCAATTAAATTCCAATTTCATACCAAGGTAAAACAAGTATTTCTAACCTAGCATGCTGCACATAATCCAAATAAGGTAGATTGAGCAAGTAAAGCAATTAAGTCAATTAAACATGCTTTCCTAAGCTAACAGCGGGGTTAAATTACAGGCAGTATAAATAGGAAAAGGGATCACAATTATAGTTACTTAATGAAAACGGATTTTCAACATTTAGCACAAGTATGCACTCGTCACCTCACATACGAGTCATTTCAAATATCAACAATACCAAATCCTAAGGGGAGTTCCCCCACGCAAGGTTAGGCAAGCCACTTACCTCGAATCGGCTCAAAATCAACCCGAAACCACGCTCTTGCCACGAGTACTCGACTCCAAATGGCCCAAATCTATTCAAATCAATTGCATAATGTAAATAACACTTCAAGTAACTAATTCAACTAATAAATTCTAAGATAATACGCAAAATTAGGAAAAATGACCAAAACGCCCCTTGGGCCCACATCTCGGAATCGGGTAAAACTTACAAATTCGGAATCCTCACACTCTCACGAGTTTAGTCATACCAACAGTACCAAAATCGGACCCTAAATGGTCCCTCAAATCACCACTCAAAACTCTCCAATTAACCAAGCCCTAACCCCCAATTTACCACTGATTTTCCTTCAAATTTCATGCTTAAAATGATAAAAATCACCATAATAACGAGCTTAGGAACCAAGGACCTTACCTCAATGAATCCCTCTGAAAATTTCCCTTGAAATTGCTCCCAAAAGCTCCACCCCGAATTGAAATATTGAGAAAAATGACCAAAATTGCGAAGGAAGTCTTTTATACTTTCTGACCCAGGCTTTTCGCACCTGCGGTTCCTACACCGCACCTGCGGTACCGCATCTGCGGCCAAAGCACCGCATCTGCGGTTTTCACTTAAAAACCCATTTCCGCATCTACGACAAAACGTTCGCACCTGCGATAGCGCAGGTGCGCTCCAGTAGCTGCTTCTGCGGTTCCAGCTGACCTCTGTCTTGGCCGCATCTGCGGCTCGATCTCCGCTTCTGCGAATCTGCACCTGCGGTCCCCTAGCCGCAGGTGCGGTTATGACAGCAATAGAACAACTTCAGCTGTCAAACCCAACTCAAAATCTTCCGTCAACCATCCAAAATCACCCCGAGGCCCCCGGGACCTCAACCAACAGCACGAACAAGTCATATACCACTATCCAAACTTATACCAATCTTCAAAACACCTCAAACAACATCTAAGCACCAAATCATCATCGAATTCAAGCCTAAGAATTCCAAAAACTTCCAAATTCCGCTTTCGATCAAAAAGTCTATCAAACCTCGTCTGAATGACCTGAAATTTTGCACACACATCACATATGACCCAACGAACCTACTGCAACTTCTGGAATTCCATTCTGACCCCAATATCAAAATCTCACCTATCAACCAGAAACTTCAAAAATTCGACTTTTCGGCATTTCAAGCCTAATTAAGCTACGGACCTCCAAAACACAATCCGGACACGCCTCTAAGCCCGAAATCACCCAACGGATCTAATGGAACCATCAGAATTCTATTCCGAGGCCGTCTTCACACTGCTCCGACTACGGTCCAAATTCTAAAGCTTACTCTCTCCTTTAGGGACTAAGTGACCCAAAACACTCCGAAACTCAAAACGAAACCTCCCGGCAACTCAGAATAGCAGAAATAAACGCGGAAAAAATAGTTAATAGGGGATCGGGGCGTTAATTCTTAAAACGACCGGTCGGGTCGTTACAAGAGATCATCCAGCTACTTGAGCATAATAGCTATCCAGCATATGCTAACATTATTTTTGAATGCAGATGCTTGTTGCGGAGATTGAGAATCCAGTAGTCCGGCATAGTTTTCGTGAAGGCAACAAGGTGGGACATGTTTGAAGTAAAATTGGCTCCAAACAACCAACTCTTTCTGGCGCAACTATTTTGTTAACTCCCCTAGATCATGTCAAGAGAATGGTCCAAGAAGAGAAGGATGAAATAGCTACTACTAGACTTATATCTAACTCCATATGGCAATATTTTTTTTTTTTCATCCTTTCCTCCAAAAACTCCCCACCTCACTCTTGGGGTGACCCGAACTCACAACCTCTTAGGATGCTTACATATGGCAATGTTGGAAACTAAAGTGTGGTCCCTAGTAATAGTACAAGTGATGTAATCAGCTTAGTAGTTTATTACTATTATTATATTAATATAAATATCCGTTTCTCCGAAAAAAAGTTAAAAATTAAAAATTGGAGGGAGAAAAGCGAAGAAACACGTGGCTGCACCTTACAAATAAGTAGTAGAACATGGAGTGCACGAAAAATTCGCAATAACATTAAGCAGTAGAGTGAGAGTGTGTCATCATCACTGTCGACCAAAAAAAAAAAAAAAGAACCGACCCACCTGAGTTTCGATCTCTCTCTCTCTCTCAACGACCCAGAAAAAGCGCAAAATCTAATTTGCTTTTTGTAAGAAAAAAGAAAAAGCAATGACCAATGAGTATCAACAACAAAACATGTACTCCCTTCAGGCACGCGCTCTTTCTTTCCTTCAAACTATTAGGAGAGTACCTTTTTCTATTCAAATCAACACACTCATGTCCTTTCTTCCTTTTTTCAACAAAGAATAACCCATATACGCATCGCACATTAATCATTATGAGCTTTTAGTGTGTGTATATCGTACTATATAGATCTGAGTTATCGATTTATATTGCTTATTTTAACGATCTTATAAGTGGGGAAGAAATTTTATGTATTATGCAGAAAGAAGATGAGAAAGACTCCTTCGAGCTGGGATCGGAGGAGCCTGAGGCTCCGTTGCCCCTCACTGTCACTTCTCGGGTCTGTTTTTTAATTTTTACTAATTTTTTATTAATAATGTTTTATTTATTGAGTAATGTGATTGAATAATTGAAGGGTGGAGCATTTGCATTGCAATTTGCAGGTGTTGTATATGTTGGGGGATATAACGGCGGGACCGGCGTATCGGTTTGCCCAATGGCTGGAGCTGGTCCGTAAGCGCAGCGGCAATTACCGCTCTTCTGGATTCCCTCATCGGATCCCCAGAGCCCATAGCATGCCATTAAGCTTAAGGTTCATACTTCTTTAACACAATGACTTATATTCATCATAATATGATCTTATAGTAAAGAAAACTGACATTGATGCTTAATCATGCTATTAACCCAAAAATTTGTGTATTGGGCAGCACAACTTTGAGAGTTGGATTTAAACAGTGTAACAGTCTTCTTCAAATTTGAGATTAGTGACTGTGGTTTTCTTTAACCTGATGTGAGTTGTCTTTCTTGAAATTTTTTGTTATGCTGCGCTTGAGTTTATTGCCAAGAGCTATAACTAATTATGGACCACAGTTTGCAAGTTGTGCTTTTAGATTTTTAAATAGTTGCAAGGTGACAGTTATTATTACATTTGTTTCATTTTATAGAGTGGTGTTTGGCTATTTATGATGTTTTAAGAAAAAAAAAAGGAAGATTTTTGATACTAAAATCAAAGTACCAATAGTATCTTGTTGTCTATAGATGCGACTTCAATTTTCGAAGAGTATGCCGTTAAGGGCAAAACCAGAATCTTAAAATCAAAGAGTTCCGAGATACAGAAATGTGTTTATCTTTGTGGAATTGGCCAAAAAGGAAAGAATACCATGTAAAATGAAATGTAGGAGTTGTAAGGCTTGTTCTGTTCTGTTTCTATACATAGTTCTCGTAGCAAAAGAACATCTTCTTCACAAGGAAATCAAGTGAAAAATAAGTACCTAAGTTTGGCAAAGCTCTTTCCTCCAATGGTAGCTACTAAGCTGCTTAGAGTTGAGGGATGAAGTTTCTTTTGAGTGTGAGCCTACAACCATGTTGGCACATCCTAAAAGAAGGGAAGAATGGGAACTGTGTTTTCCCTTTCAATATTGAGATTAAATAAGTGACACCATCTCTTTCAAAGTGCTTGTTCTAGCACATCTTTCTTTCAAGAAAAATTTCAAACTTTCAGATGAGAGCAAAGTATTAGGTGCTGTTGTGGGACATATCCTTAAACGAATAGGAATTCAGTTCTCTGTCTATTGTGCAAATAATTGCATGGACTCATTGAGCTCTATAAATGTACAGACTGCAATTATAATGTAGCTCTAGTATAATTCTCGTTCAGTGCAGAAGAGTCAAGTCTTGATCAGGTTGATCCTCTACCATCTGAGCAAACACCAGAAGTAAATTTATGGGAGAGACTTGGCAAAGCTGCGGTTTTGGACATTGAATCAAGCACCTTTTCGTGGAACATGCTGTCTTCTCTTCACCACACGGAACACAGTAGTAGTACCGAACAGTCCGAGGATGAAACCAATAAAGCATTAGAGGTATTTCAGTTTTGATATTTTGTTTGCTCAGTACTTGATTGTCTGAATAAGAGGTAGAATTGACTGAAACAAGCATAGCGTGGTCCTTATTTATCCAAAAGAAAAAATTAGTAGCATTTGCCTTAGTTATCTAACAACTCTTTTTTCTTTCCAAGTTCCTTAAAACTTTTGTTTTTCTTCTTACTGAGGAGCTTCATGAATGCTATTTTATAATCTTATGTGTCATTTTCAACTCAACATACTTTCTGGTATGAGAGATTAATGAACCTATTGTATAAAATCAGCTTTTATATCTATTAGAAGTAACAAACGAGTGGCAAAAGGAAGGTCAACTACGCATGACACTTTAAGCATTTTACAATTATTGCTGTGTTCTTAATAATTATTTGCTCATGCAACTGAACGCAGGTGACTGTAAATTCTGGGGGTGTTGTATTCTTTGCGCTATTTAACGAACCTGAAAATGATGATGCTTCTCCAAAAGAAGCTGCGGCTGTTATAAAGATATCATCTTCGAGGATGGCTACACAATCAGAACGTCTGGGTTATGAATTTGCGAAGTGGCTAGGTGTCCAAACTCCACAAGTTGTTCCTTCTCACTTCATTATAATTGTTTATATGTTTTATTAGGGAGATTTTGTATGTCATATCTTTAACTATGTTCCAAAAATATTGCAGTCCAGGGTTATTCATAATTGTAGCCCAGAGTGGCTACAGATCAAGGAAGCTGCAGAAAAAGCAAAAGATGCAGCGATTTTGGAAGGTGATGGGATTGTGGAAATGACGTGTTCAGAACTTCTGGAAGCTCTTGAGCTAAGCCGGTGCCTTATGTTAATGAAGTGCGTATACGACTTGATGTTTTTGTGGGGCGTAGAGCACATGTGCATTAATTTCCCTATTTCTTGATATCTCTTTGCTGGTGAATGGGTGCATGAGACGGATGGTAATTTAGATAGATGCAATTTGAAAATTATGAGAATGTAGTCAAGAGGCTGTTTCTCACGGTAAGCAAATTTATTTCATAGGTACTTTTGCTCTTTTTAGGTTGTAAAACTCATCAAATTAGGCCTCTCTTAGAAAGCATAAGCCAAAAGCCGATGAACTGTTACTGGATCAGGCAATCTTTTCTACTAGCTGCTGCCTACTTGTGGACGGACTAGCAACTATTTGCTTCATTCTTGTGTTAATATGTGTGGAAAAGAGTAAGATACTTGAATAATTTCATTCATATCTTTCAATGTCATGTACATGGCTTTATATACCAAAGAGGTTGAGAAGCAGAATCACCTAAATCCCATAAAATCTGGGATTATACAGAATCATATAAAATACAAAAAGAATCAGAAATCTGATATTCTAGATTACAACAATTATCCCTAAAATCTTAGAGGATCAGTCTTGATATGGAGAATATCTTCCTTGAAATTCTCTATCATTCAATAGTATGTATGGTTTACCAATGTATGCTGACGCACAAATCATTTTGCGCTTGATGCATACACATATTTATTTTTTACTGTTTGGCTTGAATATATTACTAGAAAATGTAGAATATTTTATTTTATGATTATGAAAAAATATATATATAAAGGAAATAGTTAATTGCGAAAGAGAGGAATTACACTTGTTAGTTGGTGCTGCATGTGTAAAAGCTTAGGGGAAGAAGTTGATCATCTTTTGTTGCATTGCCCTGTGTCCTCGACTTTGTGGAGGGCAATCCTGAATCTTTTTGGTGTTCAATGGGTGATGCCAAGCACTGTAAAGGAAATGTTATATAGCTAGGTTGGTTTCCGTAGAAGAAGAAAGCAAAAGGCATGGAAGTTCGCCCCGTTAGTTCCCATGTGGATAGTTTGGGGGGAGAGAAATAGGAGAGCTTTTGAGGGGATTGAGTCTCCTTTTTCGCATCTTAAGAATAGTCTTTTATCTTTGATCGCTTTTTGGTGCATTCATATAGCCCCTACTTGTATAGAAGATTGGGCGTCTTTTGCAGAGAATCATGTTCTGATGTAAATTCTCTACTTTTTGGTATGCTTCCTGTATACGGGAGTTCTCTCCCTTTTGATTAATACAATTTAGTTAAAGATGATGGAGCCGAAAGTAGGAAATGGAGTGAAAGACCAAGTTAGGTAACTCTACTTTGTTGGGGCTTTGCTAGCACTGCAGATTATATGTCTAGTTTTTGGTGCACTAGTACAGCTACCACTTTGGCTTCCTCGTGTCACATTTCTCCTTTTACTATCCTAAACGAAATAGGTAGCTTTGGTCTAAGAAAATGTTATAAGTCACTAGAATTGTATTTTGATACTTTCGTTGGCCTTATGACTTGCTATTTTAGTTACATACATGGGTCCCCTCTGCTGGAGAGCTCAAATGCATTTGATTCACGAGAAGCAGGAGAAAGGACTGCGGCAGCACTAGGTAGGGTTTTGATGTTGGATCTTGTCATCAGAAATGAAGATCGGCTTCCATGTCGCCATCTCAGATGGCGCGGTAACCCTGCAAATTTATTGTTAGCTGATAAAGTGAATGCTGCAAACTTGGACGCACTAGCAGCAGCCTTCGATTCTGCAATTGATAGATATAGGCCAAGAGTGATTCGGGCGCTTCAGAAAGAAAGAAGAGCTAATTCTGTAGATAGCAGAATAAGCACTCCTAACCCAGGATTAATATCACAGAGTTCCGACCTTTCAGACATCACAGAATCTCCAAAATCCAGCAATATGAGCGTAAGTCAAACTTCAAATGAGTCATGTCCAGATTTTCACGTTGTAGCAATAGACTCTGGGGTTCCTCGAAGACCACCTGCAGGAAAGCGTGCAAGTGATCAAGAAAATTATCCTAAGCTGGTTGAGCTCCTAATTAACAGTCCCGAGTATGCTTCAAAAATATTATATGAGATTACAGGAGGAAAATTAGGATCTCCACCAGAGGATTCTGATATAGTGAACAACTATCAGGCAGCTGATGCAGCTTCAATAGTGCATGAATTCCGGAGTGGATTTCGTGCAGCTCTACGTGACTTGCAGGGATTTCATATATTCGTTGTCACACTTCATCAGAAACTGGATAGCCTTTTTCGAGTATTTCTTAATATTATCAACAGAGCTTCTGCTGGCGATCTTGAGAAAGAAGAGTTGGTAATTCCTGAGTCACCTTCACAATCTGCTGGCGTTGCGGGGCATTGCCCATCAACACCAAGTAAAGAACGCACACCAAATGATAATTATTTGGATTCAAATGAATCAGAGTGTCAGAGAACAGCTACTAGACCATCATCTTCAGGATGCAGAGACAGCTTGGATTCTACCGTTTCTCCAAGTTCACGTGATAGCTGGCAAGGAAAGCTCTGTAAGGGCAGTGGTGAGCCACTTCGTAGTCTCCGATTGACTTCAAAACTCCGTGACTTTCACAAGTTTGCTAAGGTTTGTGATGACGTTGGAAATTTACTTCAACAAGAAAGTGTTTACCTCTTTGCAAAAAAATCTACTTTATTTGCTGGGTATCATTAAAAGTATTTCAGTAATGTTTTAAGAATTTTATTTGTCTCTTAACACAAAATTCTTCCATATCGTGGAGATTTTTTCTATGAAAAAGAAGATTCTAAGTCTTGAGCAAGTTCATTCTCTCAATTAAAGGCATTTGCTTCTCCTTTTCAGGTAGATGCAGAACTAAATAAAGAGTTGGAGCAATGGAATGAGATGCTTAAAAGTGATGCAGTTAAACTGTGCCAGGAAAACAATTTTAATTCAGGTTTCTTTGAAGGAAGTGATAGTAATTATGTGGTTGATGCTTATGAGCTGAAGGTACTAATGTCCTACTCAGCTTGTCCCTTGAGACACTATGGTAATTTGTCTTTGTTGTAATCCTTTTCATGTTCGACTTTGCAACTTATAGATCAGGCTTGAGCACATTCTGGAGAGGATATCATTAATTTCTGATGCTGCAAATACAGAAAAACCATCTGCAATCTCAGCCAGCTTGTTTATTGGTGGCGCACTTGCTGCTAGATCTGTGTACACACTGCAACATTTAGGGATCACACATATCTTATGTCTCTGTGCAAATGAAACTGGGCAGTCAGACTCCCAGTTTCCTGATTTATTTGAATATAAGAACTTTTCTGTGAGTCCTCAAAACATTCTTGCTTTTGTTTGATATAAATTTTTCATGCTGGCTAAATTCTGGCATTTAATTTATGATAGTCCCTTCTGTTTGATCCATCTCTGACTACTTCTATCTTGAAGTCTTCTAAAGCAGTAGAAGTGCTAGAATTCTACTATTTTTGAGTCTTCATCATGTGGCTACTGAGATGACACCTGTTTCTCTTCACAAGATGCATCCCGTCTTCCATTCTGTATAACTTTTTTTGGTTGAGTATCCTAAAAAGTTAGGTGACCTGTATAGTCTTTGCATACTATGAAATAATTATCCTAAAACCTTTGTTCTTTGACTCAGGAGGAAGTAGTTTTCAAACCTGTTAGAGTGTAGAAGCTACAAATTTGAAGAGTTTCTTACTGATGTTTCCATGTTAGCAACTATGTTATCTGTTGTTTGTGGCATTTTTTTTAAATATCTACTTGACTTGCTTGGGATTGAGGAAAAGTATTAGTAATAGTTGTCATTATAAACAACTCTTAAACACACTTAGAAGCTCTTCAACTCTTATATTTGTAGTATAGTAACAGAGGTTGAATGTGTGGTGATACTTCTCTTGTATGGGCAGATATGTGATGAAGAAGATTCTAATATCAGTGAACTCTTTAATGAAGCTCATGATTTTATCGATCTTGTTGAAGAAAAGGGCGGGAAGGTTCTGGTTCATTGCTTTGAAGGGAGAAGCAGGAGTGCTACAGTAGTTCTTGCTTATTTAATGCTCAGGAAGTAAGTGCAAATCTTTCTGGTTTCTTTTGCTGTTACTGCTGCATAGTTTCGTTCCATCTTCGTGTGCTGAGGGTCTATCAGAAACAGCCTCTCTACTCCTCCAGAGTAGGGGTAAGGTCTGCGTACACACTACCCTCCCCAGACCCCACTTGTGGAATTTCATTGGGTTGTTGTTGTTGTCGAAGTAAGTGCAATAGATTTAATAAATGGTTTATGCATTAACTTACGTTTTGTAGACTGATGTGAAGCTGAATGTCAAATGAATGGACATTAGCTGACTTGCTAATTCCTTAGAAGATTGGCTGTTATCATTTTTGAAGCACTTAGAATAGTTGCTTTTTTGTTGTTAAAACTTGGCCTGTAGACTAGTGATGCGGTTTGTTTTCCAGAAGTCATGCAAGAAACTTCATAATGGAAAGTTTTATATGGTGCAGGAAGTTTACTTTGTTGAAGGCATGGAATACGCTGAGACGAGTTCATCGTCGAGCCCAACCTAATGATGGTTTTGCAAGGATTCTCTTGGACCTAGACCGCAAGTTGCATGGTAAGGTTTCTATGGAATGGCAACAGCGGAAGCCAAGCATGAAGGTTTGCCCCATCTGTGGAAAGAACGCTGGCTTGAGTAGCAGTTCGCTGAAGCTGCATTTGCAGAAAGCACACAGGAAACTATCTTCTGGGAGTGTGGACAGTGCTATGAACATGGAAATACAGAAGGCCTTAGATGCACTCAAAATAAGTCGAGGTGGAAGTGTCAGCCCTACGCAAAGACAATCTTCCATGATTGAAGATTTGGAATCATGAGGTTAATAGTGTGCTACTGGCCTAACCTACCTGAGCGGGTATTGGTCATTGCAGACGGGAATCATGAAGCTTAAAGTCATCCTCATGATTATGTAGTTTCAATATCAATCAAAAGGGTAAAACGTGTAGTTAAGTACACAAGCTTAATCTATAAACATGCTGAAGTGCAGGTGTAAGAGTTTTAAGAATTGATGCTCTGTAGCGTATCCTAGCAGTAATTTTAGGAAGTTAGATACCTTATTTGTTCCCGCCATGGAAAATGTAAAATTATGTTGGAATTTTTACATTCCTATACCACATAGGAAACCTTTTTACCCTACATGTTTAAGGTTTGAGTAAATTACACTTAGTATACCAAATTACCAATCCTATACCATGCTTAATTAAGGGTCTAATTAATGGGCTGTTTTTACTCCTTAATTAAAGGTATCCATATCTAATTAATGGGCAGTTTTTACTCCTTAATTAAAGGTATCCATATCTCTCACGTTTCTCTCTCTTTACCCCTCACCCACGTTTTTACCCATACCCTACATTATTTCTTGTTCTTCATCCACGATTGCAAGATCAATCAACGAAAGATGTCCTTGAGATGCATTAGCCAGCGAAATCTCATTATATTTGAATGTCGTGCCAATTTCCTCTGCAACAATTGTTTTTGGGTACCAAACAAAATTCCCTCTTCTGGAAAAGTCAAAAATGAGAAATTTATTGGTAAAGAGACTAATATGAAAAGCTGCCGACAACTTCTCCAAACGACTTAGAAATACTGACTGTTGAAGTCCTCACCTAGATTTACTGTTTGTCGTGTATTTTGTAGTGTAATTGCAGTGTAATTGTAGTGTAATTGTAGATTTAGTGTAATGGATATGATTTGTTGAAGCTCTCACCTAGATTTACTGTTTGTAGTGTAATTGTAGTTAGTTTGTAGTTTATGTAGAACATTTCACGATTAATTGTAGTCTAAAATGTAGATATAATGTAGACATGATTGTGGATGATGTGTTTCCTGTTTGCCCTGTAACTGTAGGTAAATTGTAGTTATTCTTATATTAGGTACTTAAATTGTAGGTAATTTGTACATTCACTGTAGTTATTCTTATATTAGGTACTTAAACTGTAGGTAATTTTTAGATGTTTACCTCCAAGTTCTGTGTAATATTTGTATATAACTGTCAGTTGAATATAAATTACACAACAAAAAATAAGAAATAAATACTCCAATCGTAGAAATGTGTTATCCGCAATTAATCTGCAAATTGTCTACAAAATTTTACAAAAACTACAAATTAACTACATTTAACCTACATTATAACTGCAATCTGGAAACAATTTACACATGGAAGTTCTTCAAGTTAGAGTTGGCCACAACTACATTTCTTATTTTCTAGACACACAATGTACCGCTTCACACCATCCAACACAGCATGTATATGATCAGTTGAAGCCCTCACCTACATTTTCAGAACAAACACAAAGAAAAAAAATTTACAATATTAAAAATATAGTATCTACAATATATCTACATTTTATCTACAATTTATCTACAAATTAACTACAAACTACAAGTAAACTACAATTTGCCTACAATTTATCTACAATCTGGAGACATTGTATATTAAAATATTTTTTTCCTGCACCAAATAAAGAACTTGTAGTCAAATTGTAGATATATGTAGTAAATTTGTAGATAATATCATAAAACTAAAATTCTAAGCATTTTCGAACTACAAAAACCTGCATTCTCATCTACCACAATGGCATCAACTTCAAAATCTCTAAATCTGCCATAGTTATCCCAATTCCCATTCAATTTTAGCATTATTGGGATTTTTGACATGATTTCGTGTAGTTGAGAGAAAAAAGATGAAGAACAGATATAGGTTCGACAATTTGAGTATTGAGGACGATGAAGAACAATTTTGAATTCTACAATTTATATTGCTTTGTTGAAGCTTCTGAAGCTCTACGTTGTTTTTGAATTGTAGTGAAAGAGAGAATTACGCAGCAATCAGATCTCTTTCCGTTTCAAATTTCGAATTTAATGTGGAAAGAATCCAACGCAGATTTTGTGCCTTTTTTTTCGCGCGTTTTAAATGGCAGAATCTGCCTAATTATGGATTGGTATATAAATTGTAGTTAAAGTGTGGACTGGGCGGGTAATTAACAAATTATGCACATTTTTGGTAATAAGGTTTCATATATGGTATAGGAAGGAAAAAATCCCAATTATGTTTATTAGTGTAACAACCCGGCCCACTTTGGGCCTAGGCCCGCACGGCTATCTCTCACGTATTTTGTCCATCGTTCAAGGTTACACATGGAGTGACTCTGATACCATACGTAGCAGCTTAGTCCATTGCTTTGAGCTTAGGCTTGCACGGCTTTAAAATGCATCACTAGGGTCTAATGCATGTTTAAACATATATCTAACATTTCTCCCGTATTTTGTCGATGTGGGATTCGCCAAGGGTGTCACAATTAGCATGCATAAATTTTGGTGGACAGAGTTGCTACCGGTGGAATTGTGAGGCAGATTCTTATGTTTGATGCATGTACTAGTTATGATTGTGGACACACATGGAAGCATGTACTACTGTTTTCGTGGATGTTATCCCATCATATTGTAGGCGCAAAATCTTGCACTAGACTTCTCTGTTGGCTTCTCGTTACGTAAAGCAAATGAGGATCTCGTAATCTTTTTTACTCCCCGTTTCCAACTAGAAACTTTGATTTGTAATTTGTAACTTCTAAGCAACTGCTTTATTTCTGTCTGACCTTTAATTCAGTCTATTGCATTTTTCATATTTGGTTTTATTCTTCTTTTCTGGACAAAAGAAAAGAAAAAGAAAGGAAGAAAAAAGTGGGTGACGTGAACAACAAGGGGTTGAATCACAAACAAAAAAACAAAACAAATGTTAATGTCAGTCCAAATATAAGCACGATTTTTTTGCAGATTGCTTAAAATGAGAGGACCTACTTGTTCCAAGTTTCCCTATCTAAGCCCCGTTTCCAATTTATCAGGAAAATTGCCCCAAAAAAAGAAGAAAAAATCTTGAAAAAATATCCAGTATAGCGGAGTTAAGATAGACCTGGGAACGGTAAGCCAATTAAGAAACTTTTCACGACCCAAAAGATCCACCTAGTAGTGATGACACCTAGCTCAATCAGCTAGGTAAGTCATCAATATAAGTTACAATTGAACTAAGAAATCAACAATATATATAATTGAAACTACAACCGAATATTATACAACTACCAAAGGACGGGTAATACAAGTCACGAGCGACTATGAATAAGAGTACAGCTTCAGTTTGAGGAAAAATACATCATCTATTTGAAATTATATAAACCGAATTACAACTTCTAATCTACGATGAACAAATGGTAGCTTGTATCAGGAGTGTTGGTACGTCTTCAATGCACTCTCGAACTCCGCAGTTGCTTTTCGCCAAATATCTACACACAAGATGCAATAGTGTAGTATGACCATCAAAAAATATAATAGGAAATATGGGAGGTACGAGAAATTTATGATAAGCATTTTTATTTAAACGAATCGGAATGAATTGAAGGTAAATTTCGAATACTAGATAGTTATAAGAAATTACAGCCAAGGCTAAAGAGGGATTAAAATTGGGGTTGAGATAGATCCTTTCTCTTCCCCCTTCTCCTCCCTCAATGTAATAAAAAAAACTAAAAACTAAAAATAAAATTGAGATCAACCAGCAGACACGTCAACAATGTGGGCCCATGCATCATTTTTCTTTGATGGTGAATGGACCAGTAAGATCAAATCTAACGGTGGTGATTTGCTTAGGCGAATTTCCCGAAGGAGAAAGCCAACGATGTGGAGATGAGAAGAGAAGAGAAGAGAAGAGAGATATTTTGGGGTGTATGACGGTGCATGGGTGGTCAATGGAGTGGCAAATATAAACACGAAAGCCAAAACACAAGCCTAGAGAGTAGAGAGAGAGAGCGGTCTTTTATAATTACATCCACAATCCTATATCTATCTTTATAGCAATATACGGCCGACCTTTTTCAAGGTCTCTATTTCTTTTCCCTTTCTTCTCTCTATCTCGTTTCAGTTTTGAAGAATCTTTTGGGTCTTTAGTATTATTGAGGTGAGTATCTCTTGACCTAATCAATTGAATAATCTCTCTCTATACATATTTATTTGTAAAAAAATTAGAGATTGGTATTAGGGTTGGTTCTTTCCACGATTTGTTTTTTGGGTGGGTGTTGAATGCTTTAATTAGGTGTTTTATCTGTTTAGTACTCTCGAAGCCTTTATTTCTTGTGGTTCAATTCAAGCATACTTACTCGATAGAGCGGTAAAAATTGCAACTTTGGAGCTGATTTTGTTCATTAGAGTTGTTTTTGAGCTGTTTCTTCTGTTCGACTTTTGCTTCTACTTGTTTGTAGTAATTTCTGAGCTTGTCTTTGTCAAGTTGCTTCTTTGAAAAGGATATGAGGTAACTCACCCTTTTGAGATTTAATTAAGCATTTATTTTGGTTCTGGTTGACTTGTTGTGGTATTCAAATTCCGGCCTCGCTGCTTCACTAAATTACTCTGAAGTGTTTGAAACCAGTTGGTACTTGGAATATTGAATAGAACTGGCTTGTCTTAAGGGCATGAGTTTTAGTAATGTCTAGATTAGACCCTTATCCATTTTGTTTCCTATGTCCAGTTCCCCAGATTGCCATATCTTTTTAGCTTTTGCCTTTTGGATTGTAGGTTAATCAGATTCGTAAAAGAACTATTGTGTTATATCCTATTTATTTATATATTGTGATTGAAATCAAGTAACATACTGAGAATGAGTAATAATACCAACAATCAACTTACCGCTTTCGATGTCCCGCGATTCTTCTAGTTTAGAAACTAAGGTCCTTGCAGCTTGGCTGCTTCATCCTGGAGAAAACAGTTACACCATTTGGTGGCTGCATAGTTTTCCAGCTCTTCTAATTTAAAGGCTTTATTATTTGGTTACGTAGTAATTTTTATGTTGACATTTGTATCTAGCTTTAAGCTAATGCGTCAGCTGTGTATTGCTCAAATACTCTGTGAATATAGGGAAAGGGCATTTGCATAGTTTTTGAAGTTTGGAATCCCCAGAATGATCTTGTTTCTCTATATTATTTCACCCAAAAGTTGAACATTCAATTGTTATGTCTACTAAATGGGAATTCCAGTTGATCATATCCTTATTCTGTTATGTAATATGAACCATGATATTTTACCAAATGTCACAATTGAGTTTTTCTGACATGCTATCATATCAACTGCAGGTCCATCATGGCTAGAGCTTTAGT